AACCGGATCTTCAACTCAGTGAAAAAGTCTACCCTAACATAGCAACTTCGTAGACTGATAATCTGATGACTTATAGACGCAACATTTATGTTTGTTGAATTAAGATGTAAGATTGAGCTGAAATATTTATGAGTTAGAAAATTTTCATTGTATTTTTAAGAAAAAAGAACTCAGTGTTACAAGGAATCACTTATAGGGTAAACTCATACAGGTTTTTTAGCGAATAGGATTCTGTTTTATCGCATAGGCAGTTGCAATGGTGACTGAGTGGCCTAGAAGACAACTCTTTGTGTTTCAAGCAATCGGTACTTGGTTGATATCTTAGTTGGGACAACATCACCTACTGGAATGCAGGTAGATCTAGCTGAACAGTCCTAAATAATGCGAAACGCGCATCATAGATTCTGCTGGCCGTTACTATGGAAAAAGCTTATATATTTATCGATAACGAACATGAAGCAAAATCTACATTTAGTCATGATTACAATTATTGTAAAAACAGAACTGTTTAACTCTGATACCTATGACAGCAGAAAGAAACACACAGTGAAAAAAGAAGTATTGGAATACGAAATGCAATTAGATCTCGCGGGGTCAGTTTTTCTCACACATATTGAACTCATTACTATTATTTGCCCCTTGAGTTCCTGGTGGAACATAGGGCTTCAGTAGCACGCCTCCATTCCACTCTCTTCTCTACAGTCTTTTCAACCTGACTACACGACTGGCCACAATGCTTCATTTCTTCCTCACATGATCTCTTCCATGTCACCCTCACCTCGAATGCCAGACTCGTCGTTTCCCCTTTGAATTCCACTCGATGGCCTGGCCTGTCGCATGATGTCCCCAATCGGCCTCCTCAGTGTATGCCAAATCCAATTCATCTCCACTTTATTCTGCATATTTGTTGGGTGATAGCTTCTTGATTGATTCGTTCCCACAGTTCCCTGTTGCTTATTCCCACTATTCTGGCCATCTGATCTTCAGTATCGAGCCAGTGTAGACAGTGTAGACAGCTGTTGATGAATATCTGCAGCTTGTTGGAAGTGGTTTTCGTGACGCGCCAAGTTTCTGAACTATCACATGCAAGCACTGATTTGATTGAATTGGTGTTGAAACTCCACATCTTGTTCAAGCTTTATGCTGAGTGCAGTAGATCTCCACACTGATTTCAGATTCATGAAAGCTGCTTGTCTTGCTTTTCTGATCCTGGTTTTGACATCCTCGTCTGTGCCGCCCGTAGTTGAAACGATGCTGCCTAGGTACTCCTGTAGGTGAAAGAGACCACTTGCTTTAGATTTCTGCCGTTGATGGTGAGTGGTGCGTGTTGTTGTTGGGTATCTTCATCACCTCCGTATTCTCTATATTCACTTGAAGTCCCGTCTTCACTGCCTCTTCTGTTAACTTGTTAGTTTGTGTCTGTAGATCTTCGAGTTTGTGAGACACTAGACATAAATCATCATCGGTGGCGAAATCCATATCTTCTAGGGTCTTTTCATCGGTTCAGCGTATGCCCAACTTCTTGCTCCTCACAGTTTGTTGCATGATCCACTCCAGTCGACCACAAACAGGAAGATCATGAGTGATAGTTGGCAGCCTTATCTTACTCCTTTCTTCACTTCAAAGGCGTCACTGAGCTTTCCATTGTGAATCATTCGGTATGTGGTGTCATTTTATACTTGTTGAATGTGGTTGATAAAGGTTTGTATCACTAGAACCATAGTGTTGAAGCAGCTGCCTGCCAAATTACTTCCCGGTCAACGTTACCGAATTAAGGCCTTTTCAAAGTCGATGAAGTTGAGGCAGATTTGAGTTGACTGCTATTCTGTACTCTGTTCTATGATGATGCTTAGCGTAGTGTTCGAATTTGACCCGCACATGATTTGTTATTTCTGAAGCCAGCCAGCCTGTTCCGGTCGTAATTTTGAACCCAGAGCATCTTCTAGACCTGACAGGATGATGCGGTTTAATAGTTTGCTTAGGATGAACAGCAGCATGAGTTTTCGTTAGTTCTTGCAAATACTTAGGTCTCCCTTCTTTAGGAGTTTGACAAGATAGCCCTTCTTCCAATCGTCAGGTTCGCTTCCTTGCTTATTTGCAAACCTTTTGCAGTTGTGATGTGAGCATGTTTGCTGTTGTCTCTGCATCTGTTTTCAGTGCTTCTCACGGAATTCCATCTGATCCTGCTGCTTTGCCGGATTTCAGCAGTTTTATGGCATTCAAGACTTTTGCTTTTGTCTGAGGGACTGTGTTCACTTGTGGTTCTGTCATTTCTGGTAGTATTTCTGAACGAGTTGATAATACTAGTCAAAGACGTAGCGGAAACTAAGTAAACTTTGTATGGGCATATTTTAGGGAATTACGTTACGTAGTAGACGAGAGTATAATCTACTTACCACTTACTGACTCATGAAGTTCATCTCCTTTTTCTCTTTGAAGTTTTAACTGATTTATTCTTTTCAATCTAAACATTGGTAAACTATATATTCATTTAATCTTGTGTATGCATATTTTCTTCATTTAATATTCATATAACAATTTTTTGTTGCTTTGAACCCAATTTTGACCATATATTTTACAACTGTTGTTCTATATTTTTTTAAATTGGCGCTGAAATAATTTTCATGCTTCCTACTAGTACTTACTGAACATGAGTGAACATTGAGTTCATTTCATCTACCAATTTATGTGCTGATTATATATGTGCATGGCACGTCTAAAATTTGAAAGCAATGAGACTTACATAAAAGGTAAGTCTATTCGTTTAAAATAGCTGCCTTCTAGTTGATAAAATGAGAATGAACTAGACAGGTTATAATAGAGTAAACTATATTTACCACTCTGCAAATACATTCATCACACGTTTTTGTGGAAGTAAAAAGAAAGCCTATCTTATTTATGTAATATGAACTTTTCATATACATATTGATAATAAGGGGAAATGGTAAGGTCTTACAAAGTTGTGAAATAAATATAACATTATACAACTTCAGAAAAAACTACGATTTTGTTGGTAAATTAAGGTAATATCAGAAAAAAAATTAAGATTGAATATTTTTGGATCGTCACTGCTGATTTATCAATACAAGGCAGCCTGTTTCAACCTTCATAACTTGTTCAAAGATAACTAATCGCTGCGTATGTTTAGAACTTCCAGAACTACTTAAATACTCTTAAAGATACTTCAAAATACAGTTCTATCTGGGTTTTATTTCAGAATCATGCGCATACTTTATAATAGCTTCAAATGTATCTTTGATTCTAATTTATTTATTAAATCTACTGCATAGTGAAACATTATTATGGGTTGTATCAGAAAAGCTATTCAATAAACAACAATGTTTTCACAGTGTTTTATATAAGGTGAACATTCCAGTCACTGTTAGTCGCCAAGATAAGTAAAGCATCATAAATATCCGGTAGCATTGAGGCGTCTGCATAGGAGGCCATCTGATAACAGAAAACCAGCAATTAAACCAGGTGCGGTAACGAAAAATTAAAAATATTAATAAAGAACAACAGATACTAGCTTGAAAACTGGTGGGTCTCGTACCTCACTGGCGTAGCGGGTAGCAATTTGGCGTTTGAAGCGACAGCTACTGGTTTCAAGTCTCAGTGGAAAGGCTATCACGTACAAGGGTCAAGGTGGATTCAACCGACGAGTCCAAAATAAGGAAAAAAAAATGCACATCCTCGATTCCACTGCTAGCCACCAAACAAATACAGCTCCAGAAGATACGGTACTTTATTATAATTTACTGTTTGTCGCATATTCTGGGTTTCAAATGATGACTGGCTTATTCGATTATTGCATTTGTCCATTGGAAAACAATATGTAGTTCTCAGCTTTATTAGAACCCATCTTTTTGAATATACAATTCAGCAAACACTTCAATTAATAACATAAACTTAATTTACTACTGGCTGACGTGAATTGTTGTATACTACTGATGCTGATCAGTATTAATTGTTAGTCAGATCAATGTGATCTAAGCATCAGACGGCCATTTTGCCAGTACAAACAGCTTTTATGCTCACAGCTTTGATGTCCCTTGTGGTTTCGAGTTGATCATACCATATAATCTGAATATTTTGGTCTTCATAGAAAACTACTGTGAAATTTCTCACTGTGGACTGCCTATTTTACAAACTTCTGATCTAACTACTAACTACTTATTAATTCCAAATGTATAGCTAAGAAGTCAGTATCTATCTATGTTTCAAAGTAACTTTCTCTTAAGAAACAGTATATCAGTTTTATATCTAAAAGACTGAACTATAAGTATAGATGTTGAAAGATAAGGTAAACTAATATCATGTATTTTGAAGTCTATAGGGATTTTGTTTTGAAGGTAGTATTCAATACGAACTGACATCATTCGAAGAATCATTGAAAATCTGGTTAGTTGTTTCATCCTAGTATGGGAATTCTTAGCAGTATACACTCACCATGAGTCGCACTCTTGACTTTCAGGTTTCAAGGCAAGCGTGTATGCCATTCGGCTAGTAAGTCAGAGTTAAATGATACACAATTTCTTACATTTATCAATTCGTGATATAGGGCGAATATTTCCGTCGGAGTCTTCAGTTGCCATGAGCTTTACTTTCTGCTGACCTGTTTTAGCAACATTTAATGCTTGCTTGCACTGGCTATCCAGGCATACCTATGACCAAAAGTAAAAATATCATGCTCCATTTTACTTGTAAGTGTATAACTCGATTTCGAAATAATATGTATCATTAATAAGCTATTTAGGTCACGATTAACCCTCTGTAGAATTGGATTATTTAGAAAAAGGCAATCGGTTGATGGTAACCAATAAAGCTATCATGTCCTTAAAACTGGTTGAAATCTACGGATCAAATAAAATAAATGTGAATTATAATAAACAGTAATTATTATCGAAAATGATTTACTGAACAGATTTACTCAAGAGTAAAATATCAGTTTCGTCTACTGATGTGAACAAATATTTATCATTTCATTTTGTCATCTTCAGGAACAGTCTTCATCCAATTAACGTATCATCAATGAGTTCGTGTGTGCATCATTTATCCCAACACGTGATTATGATAAACTTGTTGATAATTATTTAAAAATACAATGATCAAATATACAAAAATACAGAAAACAATCAACAAACATCTTAACCATCATATCTCTTTTCTTCTTGCAAACATTGCAAGAATATAAAAGTATGAATATGCTATCATTTACACATTGAAACTGTTTCCATAGTTGTTGTTTTTGACTTTTTACATCTACGCATTTATCCTGTCAAGGTTTTCAAGTGAAACATTAGATCAACGTGTATGTGGTAGGTAGAAAGATGTCCAGTTGTTACTCATCACAGGTTGATATTAGCCATGAAATTACTGAAATCTCATGAGCACATGACAGCTGTTTCATACTACGTTAGAAGTCCTCCGACGTATGCAATTATGACCTAACTAGGGGTCAGTTTCAGAATAGTTAGATCTTATGATAAGCGTGTTACCGTTCAACTATTGGGTTGGGATGTTGGTGTCGATTATTTTCAACTCATGTCAAATTTCGATATGGTATAACCATCAACCATCTATAGGCGATCATTCATCTTACCCTCGACTTTTATGATCCCGATGGAAGAAACGTCTCTTTAACTTCAGGAAATCCATCTTCAAGGATTTCACTAATTATCAGTGGATAATAATTTGCTTGATGTGTCGTCGGGATTTATTAGTTTTAAGATAGTGTTTTCCACGAACTGACATCAGCTGGAGAATCATTGAAAACCTGGTAGCATTGAACAGGTGTCTCGCCCTAGTTTAGGACTCCATATCTACCATCAATTAGACTAATAAGATAAACAAACAGTAGAGTATTACGTTGGTTTGTTTTGACCAAAAATATTCATGAAAGCCATTGAGAACCTAGTTAAACTGTTAAAGTATGGAAAACTGTGTTGTGTTATCACGCCTAGATTAGATGCATTTACATTCTGTATTGGTTGTAAAGTCTCTCAGTTATTTTAATAATTAGACAGTAAAATGAGAAGATAAATTTATTCTCAAAAATTCATAGTAAGCAATTATCTTGATGAGGTAATTGCATACCTTTATTTCTCCCAACACTGTAATTACTTCCTTAAATCCTCAGCTCGTAATCGCAAAGAAAGCAGCCTAAATCGAAATCAGCATCCAAGGTCATCAACTGTGTAGATAGAAAAACCTTATTGAACAATTTTGTCGTTCATCTGACCAATGAAAATAAGTATCCAACTTGTGGCTTTGATGAAGCATCACTGATTAGTGGGCTAGGTAATATAAAAATAGAGACTTCTAAATTCCCAATGCTGCGATAAACGTATATTTGTTTCGGGACCAATTATATGCAGAAGAGATAAGCATTTCGTAAAGTAGTCTAGATTCTAACTGATCAGTAGTACTTGAACATTGTCTGTGGGTGATGTTGGAATTGTGAGCTTGTTCTAAAAAGGCTTATTTTATTAATCGAACTAACGATTTTTTCAGAGCAATTAATCATTTCTTTGTACATGAAAACTTTAGCAGTTGAATGCATTTCATAACGCTATGGCAGACAAGGCTTTATGATGGCCATAACAAAGAGAAAGGTTGGAGGTACCATTTGTGGACGCATAACGCTGGTTTGAACTTCTGGATTGCTAAAGTTTCAGCAGTAGACAGATGTCTTGATCTTACTCCCTTCGAGTGGTTTGGTCGAACCCTGTAGAGAATTTTGAATAGGCTCTCAAAACGAGCTAAATGGTTTGAGTTCACGAAATGTTCTGTTATTGAACTGAAGATACATTTCCGTTCTCCCTTTGCCAGCCAGGCTGGGTAGTGTTCTCGGACACGTTTCAGAGCGTTATGCGTCCACAAATGGTACCTCCAACCTTTTTCTTTGCTATGGCCATCATAAAGCCATGTCTGCCATAGATTCATTTTGTATCAAGTAACTACACATGTATTTCCCTCATACCTTATCCATTTTCATACTCGGTCATAGATTTAACCTGCACTACTTAATTACAATCTTATTTTCATAATGCCCTGTTTATTCTCATACTCTGTCATAGGTTTATCCGGTATTACGCAATCACAATTCTATCTTCATAACCTTCGTTCAGTTTCCTACTTTGCCATACATTCATCCTGCATTATGTAATCACATGTAATTTCATAATCCCGTGTCTACTTTTCCCACTCTAAACACAAATGTGTATTAATTAGCTTCCTTTCGTTATTCAATATATTTTGCCCCCTGACCGGGAACAATTCTGGAATATTCTACCCATTGTAACATATATTCAACCTCGCCTGGTTAACTAGTTTACTAGTTACTAGCCGGTCCTAAGCCCGGGTAAAGAGGGAAGGTTGGGCATAGGGCTAGCAACCCTACCCCGTAAAACAAATCTAACCGCTAAAGAAACTTCAAAGCACAAACAAAATATAAAAAATGAAAACAAACTTATTCCCCGCTGGAATCGGAGAGGCGAAATGACGCCAGTTGGTGAAAGCCTTCCTCCAGGAAGCCAATTGGCCGATGTGTCTTCTCTCCCTCGATGAAAGCGAAAGTAAACGTGGGGACATGGAATGTCCGTACGATGTTTGAACCCAGTAAGGCAGCCCAGATTGCAAAAGAGATGAGAAGGTATAACATCGAAGTGCTTGGGATTTGCGAAAGCAGATGGAATGGGAGTGGACTCTCCAAACTGTCAACTGGAGAATCAATAATCTACTCCGGTCACCTAGACGCCAACCACGAGCACACTGAGTTATGGAGTGGCCATCATGATGTCCCCAACAGCATCGAAGGCTCTCATGCAGTGGGAACCAATCTCCTCCAGCATCAGGATCATGACAGCAAGAGTCAACTCAAAAGGAAGGAAGGAAGGTCACAATCATACAATGCTACGCTACGCTACACACCTACAAATAATGCAGAGCAAGAGAAAAAGGAGGATTTCTACAGACAACTTCAATCAACACTGGACAAGACGTCAGTTGGCGATATCAAAATTTTAATGGGCGACATGAATGCCAAACTGGGAGGGGACAACACGGGAAGAGAACTAACCATGGGTCGAGAGGCGCTAGGTGAAATGAATGAGAATGGAGAATTGTTTGCAGAATTCTGCGCATTCAACGATTTGGTGATTGGAGGCAGTATGTTCAGGCACAAAGATATCCACAAAGCGACATGGATTTCACCAGATGGACACACTAAAAATCAAATCGACTTTATCTCAATCTCAAGAAAATGGAGACGCAGTCTACTTAACACAAGGTCAAGAAGAGGAGCAGATGTAGGTTCACACAATTCACTATCTAGTGCAAGGAACCTTCCAAATCAAGTTAAAAGCCTTCAAGGAAGCTGGTGATAGACCTCAATTCAAGTACAACACTCGGAAACTGAAGGATGAAACTACAAAGGAGATCTTCAAGGCAGCCATCAAGACAAAATGGGAGACATCGAGGAACATCCCTAAAGAAACCTGTGTGGAAGAACACTGGAAGTCTTTGAAAGCTATGTGGAAAGAAACCTGCACAACAGTATTAGGAAGGAAGAAGAAAGAAGACAAGGAATGGATCTCGACGGATACCTGGAAGCTGATAGAGGAGAGGAGGATGGTGAAGCAGAAGATAAACCAGTGCAAGGATGCTCAACGACAAGAGGAACTGAGCACAATGTATAAAACACTGGACAAAGAAGTGAAGAAGAGTGGGTGGAAAGACAAAAGACACTTCTACGAAACACTGGCAAGTGAAGCAGAACAGGCTGCAGGTAAGAGAGACCTGACGACATTGTATCAAATAACCAGGTTGCTATCAGGGAAGAGACCAACACAGATGAAACCAATAAAAGACGAAGAAGGAAATTTAATTACAAAAGAAGAGAAACAGAGGAAACAATGGGCCGACCACTTCAAGAAGCTCTTGAATCGACCACCACCTGCACTTCGTCCAGAAACACCACCTGCAGCCGCTGAATTACAAGTGAACATAAATCCCCCAACGAAAATGGAAGTCCTGAACGTCATAAAGCTACTGAAATGTGGGAAAGCAGCAGGACCAGATGGAATACCGCCAGAAGCACTGAGAACAGATGCAGAGACAACAGCGGACATGCTCACACCACTATTGCAGAAGGTGTGGAAGGAAGAGAAGGTACCTGCCTATTGATTGGAAGAAGGGTTACCTTGTCAAACTGCCGAAGAAAGGAGACCTCAGTGCTTGCAAGAACTGGCGCGGAATCACTCTCCTGTCCACCCAAGCAAGTAAAATATTAAGCCGCATCATCCTGGAGAGGCTTAAGGATGCACTGGATTCAAAACTACGACCGGAACAGGCAGGCTTCAGGAAGTACAAATCATGTGCTGACCAAATTGCAACGCTACACTACTCATCATCATAGAACAGAGCATAGGATGGCAATCAGCTCTCTACCTCAACTTCATCGGCTTTGAGAAGGCCTTTGACAGCGTCGACCGAGAAGTAATTTGGAAACTGCTTCAATACTACGGAGTACCGCAAACCTTTATCCACCTCATTCAACAACTATATGAAGATGCCACATGCCAAGTAATTCACAATGGGAAGCTCAGCTCAGTGATGCTTTTGAAGTGAAGACAGGAGTGAAACAAGGTTGCCTACTATCCCCCATGATATTCCTGATTGTGGTGGACTGGATCATGCAGCAAACAGTGGGGAGCGAGAAGAGGGGGATACGCTGGCTGGACTGCGGAAAAGAACCTAGAAGACTTGGATTTCGCCGATGACTTATGCCTAATGTCACACAAACTTGAAGATCTGCAGGCAAAAACTAACAAGTTGATAGAAGAGGCAGCTAAGACGGGACTTCAGGTGAATATAGAGAAGACAGAAGTGATGAAGATACCGCACCACCACCATCAACAACAACAACAAACTCCAGTCACCATCAACGGGAGAAACTTAAAGGAAGTAACCTCCTTCACTTATCTAGGAAGCACTGTTTCAACTACAGGCGGGACGGACGAGGACGTCAAAGTCAGAATCGGAAAAGCAAGACAGGCCTTCATTAGCCTGAAACCAGTGTGGAGATCTTCTGCACTCAGCATGCGGAACAAGATACGGATTTTCAACACCAACGTCAGTCAAGTCAGTGCTCTTGTATGGTTCAGAGACTTGGCGCGTCACGAAAGGTATTTCCAATAAACTACAGACATTCATCAA